GGCCCGCCCCGGCCCGGGGATGCGCCGAGACTTTCTCCGAGCCGGGCGCCCACGGAGCGAGTTCCCCCCGCGGGCACCGCACCTGCTCTGCTTCCTCCCGGAGCCTCCCCGGGAAACCCCGGCCCCGGCCCCCTTCCCCTTCCCGCGGGCGGCCGCGCTCTCCCCCTGCTCACCTCCGCGATGTGAGGCTGCCAGGGGAGGCCGGCTCCTGTCGGACTGCCAGCGAACATCACACCAGCTGGCCGTAACGCAGCCCCCCGTGTCTGACGAGAACATTCTCAAAGGCATCTCTGAGTTCCAGCACTTAAAAGTGAGTTTTGTTGCCAGGGAGGGAGCTGCAATACTTTCATCAATAATAGTTCCACCCAGGCCAAAACTCTTGCCTCTTTGCCAAAGTCTCTACATTTTCATCAATGGGAAAGGCAATCAGCAGGCCGTAATGCTTTGAGATTACAATCACTTCTACAGCAGCAGTGTCTGAAAGCACCTGTTTACCTGGTTAACCAAAACACGGTGTTTGGGAGAACATCTTCACCTGTGCCATTGTGAGAGCAGTCTCTTAAGAGCTTTGAAGTCTGTCAGGGAGCTCGGTGCAGTGCACTGTGGGGTGAACCAGATGAGAAGCAGTGCTCCTACTACGCAGGGATTTCCTCACCTTTGCAAACCAAAGGTTTTAGGGCTTCCCTAAAGGTGGCCTCCTGTTTTGGAACATGTTGCCTCATCTGCCATCAGCAGTAGTTGCAGGATTTTCTCACAAAAGAGGAGTGCAGTCAGCCACACTGCAGGGATGGCATTCCTGTGGCAGTGGTCCAACACAACCTTTAGTTGCCAGGATGCACGTGAATTGCTGGGGCTTGGGAGAATATTCTGGAGAAGTACCCTCTGTACTTACCCTGCTGTTACATCTCTTTTTGACCACTGTCAGAGATGGGAAGTGGGCAGGCAAGACCTTTCATTTGACACATACAGCCACTCTTTGGCTTTTACATATTCCAAAATGAGATTTTATGGACTGCTCAGGCAAGCTGCTGACTTCACAACTTCCTTGACTCCCAAGGGACATGGATACCTTTTGTCAGCACCCACAGAGCCATGCATACAGCACAGCCACATCTGCAGGGGGGACCCACGAGACGGGGCATCAGCTTCCTCCCAAGTCCTGTGCTACAGGGTGAGGATCCTGCTGAGTCTTCCAGGAGGCTTCCTTGGCATGCAGGACAGCAACCACACCTGCTGATGTCAGGGGACCACCCATGTGAAGCACCAGCAGTGTCTGACCCCTGGAAGGCACGGCAGGAGAGAGAGGACGAGGTGCTTCTTCCCATACCACACATACAGCAGTGAAGGATCACGAGGCAGAAGCCAAAGGAGTGGATCTTCCACTTTCAGTGTCAGCAGTGAGTGGGGAGGAAGAACTGGTGCAGCTGGGACATCTGCCACCATGTGCCAATGATCTCACTCTTTTGGGCTCTGTAATCATTCTCTGCCAGAAGAGGCTTGATAACTTACAGCCACCCCCTTCAGTTGCCAATAAAAATGAAGCGGCCAGATCACCTCCTGGATCATTTTTTGT